ATTTGACACTGGGTTCTGGTTTTCAGTGGGTTATTTAACGAGTTTTAACACTAAAAATGGCTGCTTGTAATTCTGCGGATGAGTCCCGAGTATCCAGGTTTTTTTTTTTGGTCAGTTGTCCTGAGTATCCAGTTTATTATAACAATTGTCTGCTGTAGTAATTTAAATCTTTTCGAATATTTTTTTTTTCTATTTTTGGTCAAATCTGTTTGACAAAGTTGAAAGCAAATTCATTTATTTCTGTATCTTAATTTTTTTTTTAAAGATAATAAAAATGGTTGACAAACATTTTCTCAAGCGATTCACTGATTTGGCTAAATGACATGCTTAATCCATTAAGACATTAATAATTTCACAAGTAATAATTTTTATATGAGTGTTGCTAAACCAACTTTAAAATTAACTGAGTACAACATACTACTAAACTATTTATTGAATTACTAATTTATCATAATATAAAATGACCAAAAAAGATATATATTGAATTATGAAATAAATAATTTTAATAAGTACACATTACTCACAATATTCAACCCTAATAAGAAGTTTTCGTATTGCTTAGTGCTCACTATGAACAATGGCAGCGAGCAATGGCAGAGACGCAAATGAGGTGTCGTTGAATGTTCATTCAACATTCAGTCACTAGGTGAAGCAAAGCAACATTCAATCTGGAGATATGGTGGTGCCTCAATATTTTCGAATCTCTAAAGATTCCAAATTCGGATGTGGTTGTAAAGCTTCAAGTATAATTTTATCTTCAAGTGTCCTCTCTTCACTCCAATCAAAATCTAGATTCAAATCGACAAGGTTCCCTGCAGTAATGAGTTCTGCTTTCTCAGCCGCATTCACATTTTGTAGGTTTCCACCACACCTACAAATATGAAGATACCCTTTGAGGTTCAAAATTTTCAAATCTCCCAGCTTAAATGCTTCGTCCTCATCATCACATGATACAACGAGCATATCGAGTGTTAAGAGAAGTTAGCTTAGCAATTCCCCTCGGCAAACTTTCTAGATTAAAACAATAATCAAGGTGAAGATGTCTTAAGTTCACTAGTTTTCTAATTTGCATGCAATCGTTGATCAACAAGGTTTGCAAGTTTGATAAATCACACAATGTCTTCCGCAATATTCTCACATCAGTTTACGAAATTAAAGATTTTGATGCAAACTCAAAATCTGAAAAAGGGGCACGAATTCATGTAAAAAGAGAAACTTGGTTTAGGATTGGTATTAAGGTGTTCTATGATAGAGAGTATTAGGATGTACTAGAGGTATTTTGGTAGTTAAATAGGGTGTACTTAGTTAATTTTACATCTTGATTTAAATAATAAGGTGTACTTAAATCATAGGGTGTACTCAGTTAATTTTAAGGTTCGTCTAGCAGCACTCTTTTCATTTAGGAATTCAAATTCTAAATTTAGGTTTGAAAACAAATATCATTGCAAATACCAGTTATCCACTTGTAAATATGTCAATAGTTGAATAGGCAAGTATGAAAAATGGTTTTTTTGAATAATCATTTTCTCAAGATAATTTTTGGCGGCTTTTATTTCTTACACATGAAATAAGAAAACTTGACTTTATGAGATTTTAGTATGAAGTATATATTGACTTAATGAGCCATAATTTTTAGCTTAAATCGTATTTTACACTAAAACTGATTTTTCATATTTTGACTTGGTGAGAATTTGATTTTCTAATATTTTTATTTGAATTCAAATAGGGGGTACTTCCTTATTTACATTGTAAACTTAAGTAAATGGAGTAATATAAAAATAAATTAAAGTCAAAGGACAAAGACATTTACTTAAATGTTGAAAATGGAAATAAGGTAATCTGTACACCTGGAGTGCATCACCACTAGCTGAGCAAGGGCGCAATTTGAACTACCTCCTTGTGCCGTAATAAGTCCGCCACAATACATGTGAGTACATATCAAAACATAAAGTATTTGAAATAATATACATATACAAATACATAACAGTATAACTGTATAACAAACATATACAAGAAGATACCGTGTTATAGGTTGGGATTGTTCTAGGTGACGGCTAGACACACCACCAACTAAATCTTATGTTATAACATGTTTTTTGTTTATTAATATGAATTTTAAAACATAACTCAGTTTTTACCTATGTTATAACACGTGAATTAGTAGCATCAGTTTTTTATGGGATGATAAACCAAAGAGTTTCTTGGGCCATGACATACTTAAACGTGATCTATTTCCCTAGATAAAATGTTTAGCACCAAGAGCACAATGATTTTCCACTTAAATGTGATTCTATTTCATTCTACACATTTGTTTACATGAAGTATGTATACGTATTGAGAAATATTTCTTCAGATATTCTTTTTATGTGTTTTATGTTAACCTAGTAAAGTTCTCTTCTTCCACTTATATGTGTTTATGCTCTTAGTCCTTTTTTCATAGATATATAAAATATTCCATTTTATAAAATATAGTTTGTATTGTTAGTTTTGCCATAAATTATGAATGAAAGTACTATTTTTATGTTTTTTTTAATATTATTGTCTTCTTAACAAAATTTCAAGACTTACACTATGACCCTATGAGGTCACAATCCTGTGTTGCGTCTGCCATTGCATAAAGTCATCGTGACTAGCCATGTCATAAAAAAATCTTAATAAAGACAAAACGTGATAACTTCGTAAACCCCATGAACCATTTGTGAAAAATTACTTAAACAAGAAGATTGGGCACCTCGTGTGGAAATTTGTTACATAGAACTATTTTTGCATGTTGGTGTAACTGTGGATGGGATTGAAGCACTTTCACATCCCCAATACAAAAGCATAAGGATATTTACGTGGAATGTTGACTTGTACATCTTTTTTACATGAAAGTTTTTCTCCTACATATATAATATAGGGAACTAAAAATTGAAATTAATTGTACAAAGAAAATTCCTTAGGAAGCAAATTAATGTAGCATTTTTAATACAAATTAATAATAGTCATGTATGAAATATCTGTGCATTGTTTGCATTCAACATCTATGGTAGCAGAAGAATTTAGGACTGGGTAACATCTCACATTGCCCACATATTGCGGCCACCAAATTCTTGCATATGTGGTTACACATTTTCCTGAATTTCAACATGAATGCTTAGTCGTGAGCAATTGCATCCTTCACGCTTTGCTTCTTTCTCACACCTTTCTGTCATTGCTAAATACACAGAAAAATACATTGTATTAAACAAAAATGTATACGAAAAATATCACGAGCCGTATAGTTACATATGTACGTTTTTGTAGGAATATATGCTTGAACAGCTGCATACATCAATGGAAAAATCTAAATAGTACATAACCAGATGTAATCTCTATGCTAGGTAGAAAACATATAACATTTCCAAAAATGTCCACCTTTATAAGGAGGATGATGATTATTAATGAATATTAGGAGTCTTTTAATTAGTATATGCTAGTAATTATAATTGATTATCTACAAATGATGTAATGAAACTATTTTAATTAAATTGATTACTTATATACGCACCCATATTGGTGAAGAGGATGGCATTCAAGATGAGAAAGGAGTGGTTCAAATGTAAAATCTTGGCATACTTTCATCACCTATATGCAAGGCAGCAATATGATAAAGTTATTTTATTTAGAGCACACAAGACTGAATTGATCTTACAGTATTTAGATTACAAGGAGCCAGCCATTATAACCCTAGAATACGTTTAAGGGTTGTGAAGGAAGAAAAATAAAGGGACCGCCATTATAACCATCAACAACTTTTAAGGGTTGGCAACTTCTTTACATGTAAGAAAGTACTTATGTTCTCATTTGTTCATCCCATATTTGTATATAAATTTTTAGTTGCAAAATTGACTGTTGTAGCCCTCAAATTGACACAACATTGACGGAATTTGATGGTGGAAGCAATTTGACGCTAAACAGAGAGTTGAAGGACTAATAACTTGAATACTGTAATTGAAAGACCAAAATGAAACTCGGGCATCAGTCCAAAAGACATTTCCATCAAATGGGTGCTCATGCTTATCATATGTTCTATTAACAATGTGGGGACGTCCACTCTTCAACCTTCCTATATGTCCCTCACCATCTGTCAAATTTTCTATTTTAACCTCTCTCTCTTCTCCACATTCTTATTTGAAATGTATTTTACTCTAAATGCTCCTAATCTGATAGGCCTACATTTTAGGCACTAATTAGAAATTACTAAGAAATTTTAATATTTACAAAACTTAACTTGGCACCATTTGACACCTACGGAAAACTACAGTTTATGTTAGAATTTGGTATTTAGCTTTCTGGTTTTATTGATTGATTTACAGAACAAATAAAACCTTTTGTAAGCAACATATGCAGAGGAGAGAGAAACTCAGAGAGAGTGAGAATGTTTCAGTCTATTTTCTTGTATTGCATCAGAGCCAAAAACGCAGACTATAAGCATGACACAAGCTGCCAAAAACAGATCCTAAAAAACTAGGACACAAGGACTCATCTCCAGCCATTCAAGGTCATTGGAGGCTACGATTCTTACACCTAGACTAGAAATCGTTACAGCAGAAAGGACTAAGACAGCTAAGAATGACAGCTGTAGAGTTTACCCAAAATAGTAAGAAAACAAGGCGTTGGACATAACCTATAACGGCTATTACTATAAAAAGAAATTTCTTCAGCTCCTTCGATTTCTTCATCCTCTTCACTGCCAATCTGCAGGATTAACATCTGCAGCTTGATTCGAGGCTAGTATGCAGCTTAACTCTCAACAGCCTCTCCTAAGCTGCTTACTGGCTTAACTCCAAGCTTCAACCTCAAGTAATTGAATCGATCTTTGGGCAGAGCTTTTGTAAATATATCTGCCAACTGTTCTTCACTTATGCAGAATTTCATGTCAATCACCCCTTCTTGTAAAGCTTCCCTTATGAAATGATACCTTCGGTTTATGTGCCTTGTTCTCTGATGGAAAATTGGATTTTTGACCATTGATATTGCTACATGTTGTCACAAAACAATGGTGTTGCATCAGATTGCATTTCACTAAAATCATCCAATACAAACCTCAGCCAAATAGCTTGAGCTGTTGCCTCAGCTGCTGAGACGTATTCAGCTTTTGCGATTGACAATGCAACTGTATTTTGCTTGACTGAAGCCCATGAAAAGACTCCACTACCAAAACTGAATGCATATCCAGATGTGCTTCTACTGTCATCTTCACTGCCAGCCCAATTAGAGTTACAAAAACCAATCAGAATAGCATTCTTGTCCCTTGTAAATTCAATGCCATAGCTGAGAGTGCCTTGAATGTATATGAGAACCCTTTTTGCAATTCCCATGTGCTTCTTTGTGGGGCTATGCATAAATCTTGATAACAAACTGGCTGCAAACATTATATCAGGCTTGGTTGCAGTTAGATACAACAGACTGCCAACAATTTTTCTAAACAGACCTTCATCAGCCAACTCACTTCCATCAACTTTCTTTAGTTTCTCACCAGTGGGTAGAGGAATTGTTACTGACTTACAATCTTTGAGGCCAAACTTCACAAGCAAGGACTTTGCATACTTGCTTTGATGAATAAACACCCTTTTATCAGTTTGTAGAACTCCCATTCCTAAGAAATGATATTAGAGTCCTAAATCAGTCATTTCATATTTTTGCATCATGTCCCTTTTAAACTCGCTGAGCAATGCATTACTGCTTCCAGTATAAACTATATCATCAACATATATAGAGACAATGATCAATTTTCCTTCTTCATCAGTTCTGGTATATAAGGTGGCCTCACTGGTGCTTCGTTTAAAGTTGCAGCTAGTTAGATAAGTGTCAATTTCATTGTACCAGGCTCTGGGAGCCTGCTTCAAACCACAGAGAGCCTTCTTCAACTTATAGACCTTATGACTTGCTTTTTCCACTTCAAACCCCTCTGGTTGCTCAGTATAAACCTTTCCTCAAGTACTCCATTCAAGAAGGCTGACTTAACATCTAATTGGAAAAACTTCCAACCCTTTTGTGTTGCAAGTGCAATCAAAGTTCTAATTGTATCTAACCTTGCCACTGGGGCAAAGGTTTCATTATAATTAATACCAGGTTTCTAAGCATACCCTTAAGCTACAAGCCTAGCCTTGTGTTTTTGAACTGTTCCATCCAGATTCAGCTTGGTTTTGAACACCCATTTGACTCTTATGACTGGTTTATCTGTAGGCCTTTCCACCAGCTCCCAAGTTCCATTCTTTTCAATAGTTTCAATATCAGCATCCATTGCTTCCTTCCATGCTTTGTCTTCAATAGCTTCATAATAAGTTTCGGGTTCAATAATGGTCATGTGACATCTTGAATTGATGTCCTCCAAACTTCTCAGCTTTACTGGTGAATTGTTTGGAGTTGAACCTTGACTAGTACCACTGCCATTGCTTTTAGGGACATGTTCATCATCTGAGATTAATTGATTTAGATTTGGTGAATCACTACTGTGAGTTTCATGAGAGGTTTCTTCTGTTTCAGTTATCTCAAAATTTCCATTTTCAAAGATGAGAGGCATGTAGACAGTTTCAACTTGCTTGCTTTCCCAATTCCAGGATTTGTTCTCATCAAAAACAACATTTCTTGAGAATATGATCTTCTCAGCTGCCATAACCCATAAAGATTCCTTTGCTTGCTTTGTCATCAAACTTCTGTCTAAGATTTAATGGAATGTGACTGTAACAGATGCTTCCAAATACTCTCAGGTGTTTTACACCTAGTTTTCTTCCTGTGAAAGCTTCAAATGGTGTTTTGTCTGTAACTGTAGTGGTATAACACCTATTTTGTAGATACACAGCAGTATCAACTGCTTCAGCCCAACTTTACATGAATTTTCTTCTCAGTCATCATTGATCTTTCCATTTCACAAATGGTTATGTTTCTTCTCTCAGCAACCCCATTTTGCTGAGGTGAGTAGGCAATAGTCAGTTGCCTCTCCATGCCAAGATCACTGCAATACTCAAGGAATTCATGTGAAGTGTATTCTCCACCTCTGCCACTTCTTAGTTTCTTTAAATTGAATCCACTTTGTAGCTCAACAAATGCTTTGAACTTTTTGAACACACTTATCACACTTGACTTGTTTCTGAGAAAATATACCCAACACATTCTTGAATAGTCATCAATGAATGTGATGAAGTACTTATTTCCTCCAGTGGACTCATTTTGCATTGGACCACATACATATGTGTGTATCAACTCAAGTGGATTGTTAGCTCTCCAAGGCTTCTCATTCTCCAATGGTTCTCTGTGGCTTTTACCATACACACAGCCTTCACATACTCCTTCTTTTTCTGAGAAATCAGGTAAGCCTAACACCATTTGTGTTTGCTGCATTTTTTTCATGCTTGCAAAGTTCAAATGCCCCAATCTTCTATGCCAAACCCACAGATCTTCTTGTACTACTGCTTTCATTGCCATTGAGCAGATAGATTTCATAGACAATGGAAAACATCTATTTCCAGCCATTGCAACTTTGGCAACAACATTATCAAGGCTGCTGTCATCACATATTAATGCATAGTTTCCTCCAAATAGAATGTAGTACCCATGCTCCATCATTTGTCCTATACTCAACAAATTCTCATCCAGACCAAGGACTAGCAGCACTTCATTTATGTATCTTCTCCATGTTCTTGTCTCAACTACAAGTGTCCCTTTTCCTGTGGCTTGAACAAGATCACCAGTGCCCATTTTCACTTTGCAGGTCACTGACATATCAAGATTGATCAATAAAGACTCTTAAGAGATCATGTGGTTGCTGCAATCACTATCAACAAACCACACAGACTTGCTTGATGCAATGGAACTTGCATGACAAGCATAGAACATTGTTCATGTGGTTACCTCTTCCTCCTTGCAGTCCTTAGTTAAATGACAAAATAGACTGCACTTCCCACACTTAGGTTTTCCTTTATAGATGCATATACCAAAATGGTATTTCTAACACACTTGGCACTGTGGTTTCACACCACCTTGACTGCTACTTCCTTGCTTGTTTTGTGAATTGAAACTGTTGTTCCAATTCCCTCCAGAGCCATTATTCCAATTTGAGCCATTATTGTTGTTAAAGTTTCCACCTTGAGACCAATTTGAGCCCTTTTTGTTTTGTCCTTGCCATTTTTGATTTGGCCTTCCCTAAGAAATTTTGTTAGCTCAAGAAGCTTGATTATTTCCAACTCTGAGACTGCTAAAAGCTTTCTCAGTTCTTGCCAATTTATCCATTTCATCATGCAAATCCTCTCTCTTATCATAGTCTTTGACAGATGCAAGAATTTCTTCAACTCTAATAGTGTCAAGGTCTCTGGTTTCTTCAATGATTGACACTACGGACTTGTACCTCCTACTTAGGCACATCAACAATTTTTAGACAATCCTTTTCTCTGTTACATCTTCTCCTAGAGATTTCATGTAATAACCCAAACCTTAATTAATATTTAACTATTAGTTTATTAAGGGGAAACGATAATTTTGCCCTTGGACTAAGTTATTAAAGGAAAGTTGACTTTTGACTAAAGAAGAATTTGACCATTCCACTTGCACTGTTGCATAGAGCGCGACGAAACGAGTCCGTAGACATGGAATGGACTCAAATCGGAGTTGTGACGAAGAAGTTATGATCAAAGGAAGTCTAGTGGCAGAACCGTAATTTTTGCAAAGCCAGTTTTTAAAAACCTGATCACTCTCTCTCCTCTCACGCAGAACCACCTCTCTCTCTCTTCTGTTCAGGCCAGCCACGACCTTCGTGGCTTCCGATGAAGATTCTAGCCGCCTATGGCCACGATTTTGGATCCCTTCTCTTCGTCTCTCTCTCCTCTACACATCTATACCAAATTGCAGCCCCAAATCTAAGGAAATTAAAGCCAAAATCCAAGCCAAAGTGAACCCAAAAATGGGCTGTTTCAAACAGTAAATTTCGGGGTATTTTCCGGTCATC